CTCCATTTAATAACATACATATGGCCCTTGATAGAATTAAATAGCCTATCTAGGAAACAGAATCTGCGCGCAATCTGCCGTCAGTCTGTCGTCAGAGTCTGTCGACAGGCTCTCCACGCAGTCTGTTACCAATCTGTCGTCAGAGTCTGTCGACAGACTCTGCACGCAGTCTGTTACCAATCTGTCGTCAGAGACTGCTAAAACAGTTTCTGTGTGCAGTCTGTTGCCATTCTGTCAACAGACACTGTTGACAGACTCTGCGTAAAATCTGCTTGCACAGGTTTGGCTATCTAGGAAGTTACTTTATATTGCTTGCATTTGTATATTATATGAGCCTAAACAATAATACATTAAGTTGGAATAATGCCTATTAGCACATTGATGACTCCTGTCATATATTTGATTTCATTCTGCAGGCAATGACATAAAAATGAAATATTCATTGATTATAGCAGTTTACAATTATAATATAGAAACTATATAGATGCACAAATTTTTGTGCTTCTTTACATATTGTCCAAGCAAACACTCAAAATCTGTCAACGATAGTCAATAATTTTTCTGTGTGCAAATGTTAAAGTATTAAAAAAAACATTGTAACAATACATTACATACATACATACATACATACATTAATACATTACATACATACATGTTTACATTCATTGTCAAAATAATGATAATTTAGTACAAAATTATACTAGTTTTGTGTATTAAACGATTGATATAAACCAAACTAATATTTCCAAACAAATAACGTTATAACAGAAATCTCAAATTTATAAAGTAAAATGAACTGAAACAAAACATTTCTTCTATATGATTATGGATATGGTCCAGTGGACGCTACAAATACTTTGTAGCGTTTTTACTTCTTTCTCTTTCTTCATTCGAATCCGAGGAATAGAACAAGAGGGAGAAATGCGCAGCATTTGTAGCGGTTGTTGGACCGCGCCCTATCACACGATGTTATACATCAATGGCTGCATTCAGCAGACTCAACAGTTGCACAACAGTTGAGTAATTTGTCAATGTAATTGGTCTAGATTTAGGGATCTAATAGCAAGAACCAATAATCGTTGATTGCTCACTGAGCGCTTTTTCTACTGAATGCGCCCAATGATTAATTCTAGTAGTTGCTTCCGATCGTAATGTGACAGACAGTTCTTTTCGTGGCATACGTGGTTGCCCTACTTTTCCCACTAACCTCTATTCTATTTAAATTTAGTGGCCTGCATTTTCGCACACATGATGTCTACCGTTGTCAACAAAATTATATTATCAATGCTCTCTTTCCATGTGCGTTAACATAGAAAAGCTCACTGGAATATATCCTGCGCTCTCACACTCACTGAATATTGTATATTCAAGTACTGAAAATCTATACTTCATATTACATATATTACAGATTTTCAATGGCTTGGTTTACATCGTGCACTTGATACGCGTACTAAATAGTAACTTTCTATTAGATAATCCTAATATGGACGATATATATAAACAACAATATATTAAGCTGATATAATACTCATTAACAAAACGTATTGTATTGATAGAATGCGTCGTTGTTGATATGCATTGTCAATATTAAGATTATCTAATAGAAAGTTACTATTTAGTACGCGTATCAAGTGCACGATGTAAACCAGGCCAATGGCTTTGTTTACATCGTGCACTT